CTAGCCACAAGCCAGAGATCAGCAACCAGGACCACTTCCGCACTCGGCTCTCAGGTAGAAAAGCACGGCTGTGTCACGAGCTCAAACCACGTGGCCTCGCCCTAGTTTAAAGTAAGCCCTAAAGCCGGCGCATGCGCCCTAGGCCCCGCCCACGCACGGCTGTCGGGTCATTGTTGGGGGCGGTGCTTACGGCGGGCAGAAGACGCAGAAGACGCACGCGCTGTGCCCGGTCGTAGTGCAAGTTCTACCGGTGCTGACTGCGGCTGCTGCGTGTACGTTTCCGTACGGGTGGCCGCGCGGCCCTGGGGTGAGTGTTTTGGCGGCCTGGTTGAATGTCAGGCGGGAGATGTCTGGAGCCCGCTCCGACTCTCCAGGCGGCCGCAGCCCCGCCTGGACCCCTGGCAGCCGGGACGGAGCCCTTTCGCGCGGGCGGCCAGGAGCGGGCCCTCCGGCTGGGCGCGCGGCTATCGCTCCAGCACACCTGAGGCCGGAAGTAACGCTAGGGAGCGCTCACCTGGGAGGACCGGGGTTGGGGTGGGGGGTCCCCGCCTCTGGCTCCCCCGAGGGCAAGGAGGGCCGGCGACTAAGCATCAACTTTCCGGTTTTGTGACCTGCCCCCGCCCACCCTTAGGGTCAGCCCGGCCCTGTTTGATCTCGATTAAAACTGGAGTTGTTATTTGAACGGGACAATCGGGGTAAAAACAAGTCAGGCACTTGATATAGTAAAGTGGGAGTATGTGAAGGAGGATTGAGCAGTCCGCATATAAATGCTGTAGCATAAAGACTTCCCACGTAGCATTTTATCTTCACTGCTGTCACCCTGTTCCAAGCTCCTGTCACTCTTCACCCGTACGGGTCCCAGCATGTCCGTGTTGCGCTGTTTCCTCCAATCCATTATCCATACTGTAGTCCAGCTGGTCTTTTACAGACATAAATTGGGTCATGGCATTATCACCCTCTTTGAAACTGTTAAGAGTCACTCCATTACACTTGGAGAAAAATCCAAGTTCATGTTTCCCTAGGTTCCCCGTGATCTGGTCCTTGCTTATGGCTCCATCTTCAAGTACACCCCTTCCCCTTGCCAGTTTTGCATATATACAACTAAAACTCCAAATCGGTATCCAGCGCCTCCCACAGACGCCGCAGTGCTTAAAGGAGGACAATGAAGATATTGTTTTCCCAGATGGTTAAGTCTTGTAGAGTGTTAGAAGACGTTCTGTAAATAAATGGAGTCATTATCAGCTTCTTTAACTCTGTAATTCATGTACAATAAAGACTTCTCAGAATGCTCCAGCCTTCTTCCAGTTTTTCAGTAGCACCAACTCTTACCAGCCTTAGAAATCACACATGCTGTTTCTTTGCAAAATATTCACTTTTGGCCTGTTATTTCATCCTTCAGATGCTGGTTCACATATCAGTTTATCAAAGAGGTCTCCCGGACCTCACGCCTACTTCTATAATATCGGGCTTCTCTGTTAATTTTGTTATAAAGAAGTCTGTACTTTCCTATAGCAGTTACCACAGTTACATTTGTGTATGTGTAATTTATGTATAAATACTTAATTTATGTTGGAGAAGGAAATAGCAACCTACTCCAGTATTCTTGCCTGGGAAATTCAATGGACAGAGGGGGCTGGCGGGCTACAGTCCATGGGGGAGCAAAGAGTCGGACATGACTGAATACCTAAGCACACACATGTTTATGTATGTAAATACATATATTGTATATAATTCTTAAAATATGTGTCATCTGCAAGAGCTGAGTTCTCTGTAGACAGAAACTCGTTGACATAGTACATTGTCTGGTATAATTGACTCAGTAGATACTTATTGAATGTCAGATGATTTATTTCACCTCTGAAATTGCACCTTCTAACCAGAACTTCCTGGTTTTCATCTCTTATTCCTAGGAGACTTGCCCTTTGGTCTATTCTTCAAGTATCTTCTTGATTCCTTTCTTCCTTCTTTTCTTCCTTTTCCCCTGCCTTTTCCTTCCTCCCTCTTCAGTGCCTTCTGGCTTGTTTGTTTCTTTTTCCCTAATATACCCAGCTTGAACCTCCAAGGTCAGTTGCTTAAAATACTCAGCATCTTTTAAAAAAAATTTATTTATTTTTAATTGGAGGATAATTGTTTTTACAACATTGTATTGACTTCTCCCATATCTCCTCAACATCTTTACCCCCAAGCTATGTCTGCCTTTCTACTCTGAAGACTCCCAACATTGGCATTTCCCCTGGGACTGCTAATTACTGAAGGAGGAAATTGGGGTTGTTGGCAATTCCTGGTTGGGGAACTAGCTTCTGGTAGGCCTTCCACACATGTCACCAGTGTTTGTTCCCCATCACCTTTTCTCTTCTACAGGTTACTTAGTTTAGATTCTTACTCTCCCCCACCTCCCATCCCAACTATGTCCCATGACTCAGGTAATGCCCAAATTTCCTGCCTTACAGAGTATTTTCTCTATGGTCCACCTAAGCTTCTCTACTCTGCACCTGTCCATCAGGAGTCATCCTGCCAGAATCAGAGAAAGATGTGCTATGCCCTCTTCACTTCTGTACTTGCTGCTGTCTCATATACCACTTTCTTTGCAGATTATCTCCCTAATCCCCACTAGGTATTCATCCTATAGTTTTTCTTGACCAAATTTTCCTTCCCAATCCTTTGATTACTTTTTTATTCCAGTGATCTCTCTTCAATAGCCTATCCTTAGGCCTCTATTTCCTTATCTACTCATTTCTTATCCCACTACAGTCTGATTTTTTTCCCCCTTTGCTTCGCTAAGATTTCTTTTACTAAAATAACCACTGATCAACTTTCCAAATCCACTGGAGCCTTTGTAGTTTCTTTAGAACTTGCCATATTAATTTTCCACATTTCACCATTCCTTCCTAACTCCTTATTAATCGTTTTCTCCAAACATTGTTATTTTAACCTTGTCTTTGCACTACAGAGTTATTACTTAATATTTTGATTGATTAGTATATTTTTTAAGAACTGAAAAGGAAATCCTTGTATACATACAAATAAGAACAATGAAAAAATTTTAGCTAGCATGAAGGCTTGGAGCCGGAATCCTGCTCTCTGTTGAAAGCAATAGAGTGCCAGTCTGATCCTTTATTTCCTTTCTCCTGGAAATAATCAGAAGGGCCCCAGATGGAGGAATTTTCTTTCTCTGATGTTGACTTTTAACCTTTTCAAACTTAGCCTCTTTCTTATCCTCTGAAAAGAATCTCTGGTACCTGTCAGAGCCCTGGTATCCCTGCGGCTGTTTACTCTGCTGGTATTTCCACTTGTCCAGATTTTCTCTAGAGCCCAGATTCACATTTCTGCCTGCATTCTGGCCGGCAGCTTTTGGCTGCTTCCCATCTGCTTCCTTTCTGATTCAAATTTTCATGACTGAATTCACCAGTGACTCACTTGTCCAAACCAGACTTGTTATTTTAGATTCCTCCCTGAGCCTTCCTTTCCACTTGTTTGAACACCTCATGTGTACAGATCTTGGGTCACACATTCAAAACTCAGTTTGTATGTGTGTTTTGAACTCCAGATCCAGTGCACTGTCCCTTCTGTGTCCACCTGGCCTCTTGTCTGTGCCTGGTACCTGCCCCACTTGCATGCTTCTGCAGTAGAGAGTGAGCCCCTCGGGGCAGGGTGACACCAAGTTCCTGGCATCCTTGTATCCTAGTGCTTGGCCACTGGCATCACTTTATTTAATGAGGAATGAGTGGAGCTTGTTGGGGAACTTGTGAACATTTCATAGAAATAGTTTATTCACAGTTAAATAAAAAGATAAGCTGTCACTTAAAGAAAAATCTATTTAAAAGCATTTATTAGATGGAGTTATACCGGCAGCATAGCAAACACATTTTCATTCAAGGAGTTCCTGATTTTTTTTTTTTTTTAAAAAAAGGAGTTCCTGATTTCTTGTTGTAAAATGTGAAAGTTCCCCTTTATTCCTTCCTTTTCCTTCTGTTTCCCCGCTTCCAATGCTGCAGGTTTAGTATGTGTCTTCAGATTATTTTGAATGCATTCCATACACACAGATGTGGGTACACGTTTTTTTCCAATATAAATGCCTTCATACGACGTGGCTTTTCATTTTACATGGCTTTTATATTGTTACCATTGAGAATATTTAATGCTGGTTTAAAACTATTAAACATGCTACAATAAATAGCCATGTATATGTGAATATTTCTCTCGAATAAGTGCCTAGTAATGTGCATTTTAATTCTTGGTAGATATTGCTAAACTGCCTTCCAAACGAATTTTACTAAGTTATATTCCCACCAGCATATGTGAAGGTGGCTCTTTCTTATCTATAGTGGATATTATCAGTCATCGTGTTTTTGCTAGCTTGTTGGTGAGAAATTATATCATGCATTGAAATGGAGTTATTTTTGAGACTTTTAATTGATCTAACTGAGGTTCTGATTTGAGTGGTGTTATTTATTATCTCTTTTCAGAGGTTTCTACTTATTGGAATAAATAGTCAACCTAAAAGTTTCTAGTGTTAGATTTGTAGAGAATCTCTATACAAGTCTCTCTTCTTAAGTCACTAAATCTGTATGTTGCAGTTGATCGTGCAGCTCTAATGTAGGTCATTTGTGCCATAATGTAGTGAAGAGGCTCACTTGGAAAGCAGCAGTGAAATGACTTCACTTGATTTGGAGAAGTCTCTGTGGGCATCACTTGGGATTCTGGTTGCCAGCTTTCTCTGGTGGCTACCCCAGGGTTCTTGTTGATGATACTGCATTTCTTTTTCTGTTGTTGGGAATATTTCTTAATTATTATCAGAACTCAAGAAGATCTATAACTTGTGTTCTTTTAAGATAAATAATACTTGGAAACTTGAATTTATGTAATTGGAGGATTATTGCTTGGTCTTTTGAGAAATCAATCTGCTTTAGTTATAAATATTTACTAAACTTTATAAATACAATTCTGTTTAACTGATGGGCTTGCTGAAAATTTTTTTCCTTTTAGATAGTCTGAAGAGGATGCCAAATGAAAGAATCCCCGACTCAAGTCAAACTCAGGAGCAAGACTGTTCACAGAGCCAGGCTGTCAGTGTCAGTGAAGAGGGGACAATCAAGCAGAAGGATGGCGACATGGACCCGGGGCACAGCCTCCCCTCTTGTTCCTCTGCTAACGGACCCTCCACTTCCACTGAAGGGGGTCTCTTGGAACTTCCCAGGAGAGGGCCAGCCCTGCTGCACATCGACAGACATCAGATCCAGGCGGTGGAGCCCAGCGCGCAGGCCCTGGAGCTGCAGGGGTTGGGTGTAGATGTGTATGACCAGGATGTGCTGGAGCGGGGGGTGCTTCAGCAGGTGGACAGCGCCATCCACGAGGCCAACCGCGCGGCCCAGCTTGCCGAGGCAGAGAAGGAGTATCGGTCAGTCCTGGACGACCTCACGTGAGTGTGGACCGCCTTCTCTCTGATTTTACTTCTGTCTGAAAAATTTAGACAATACCTGTGGCAGTCCAGAAATTGAGGGGATTTATAGAACTTTAGTCAGAAGATGGAGTCAGTAAGTCCTTGACCTGTGTTTAAACCCCAGCCCTCAGGAGCATTGTAAACAGTACTCACTCAGTTCAGTTCTTGGCAGCTGTTTACACATGATGTCCTGGAGAGAAGTGCTGTTCTGAGTGGCCCAAATCTCGCAAGCTGGGGCATAGAATGGTTCTCAGGAGAGGTGTGTCTGAAGATCTGATGTGTCCTACTCCAGGTACCAGGAACATCCCCCGGCCCTCTCCCCCCATCCTATAATTTCTTTCTAGTTTCCTGTTCCAGTCTTTTGGTACCTCAGATTTGCATTTCTGGAAACAGTGAGAAATACCTCCCAGCTTTTCCTTTCTTCCGTTGTACTTTTGACTCTCTAAGGAAAAGGGAAGTTCCATGGAGGCTCACTTATGCTTTAGAGGAGAAACAGACCTGGGCTGTGCTGAGCAGAATGCATTGGTTGTGGAGAGGCCTGGACCTGGGTTGAAAGAGGGGGCAGAGGATTGAGGTGAGCTCACCATTGCCTGTCTGCCTTCCCATGGCCAGTGTTCTCAGCAGAGTGCGCTGCAAGCAGGAAAGAGAAGGGGACGACCAGGTGGAGGGATGGTGCAGTGTCAGGTGGGAGCAGCTGGAGGAGGGGGAGGGAAGAATATGGAGCTGTTGGCCAGCCCGTGGAGGATGCTGTGGTACTGTTGGCACTTAAAGGGCCTGTTTTCTGCTAACAGTTTTCTGGTGTGTTCTTTGAGCCTCTTGAGCAGTAGGTGTTCTCTAATAGTTGTAGGCTGACCTTCAGGTGTGAGGACCTTGATGTCCTCACACCTTACACGTTCGACCTTGGAAATGTGTCCACTGCTTGCAGAGGTGACAGCAGGGTGCTGCAGAGTCATGAGACTGCCTAATGCTAGGCAGAGGGTGACACATGGTGCCAAGACCACCAGTAAGTTGCATTGATAACATCTTTTCTGCTGAAATCCACAGAGGATATAGACAGCAAATTACACGAGTGTCAGTATTGAATTTGTCTTTTGAAAGTTGGGAGTTGCAATTCTATGTCTATTTTAGGAGCAGTCTATTATAAATTGACTTTTTCTGTTTGTACTACAAAGTGTAATAATATAGCAATAAGTCTTCTAGTCATACAAAAGAAAAATACTATCACAGATGTCTGACTTATATAAGAAAATGTTTAAATATGTTTAGTACTTCTCCAAACTTTGGGAAACTCCCATAATGGTCTTTAAAAACCCATGTTTGGGTTGCTGGTAATGGAGTAGTCTGTACATATTTGGGGCAAGGAGTATATGGGAAATCTCTGCCTTCTTCTCAGTTTTTCTGTGTACCTAAAACTGCTCTAAAAAATTGTCTTTAAAAAAAAGTGTATGCATTTTTTCATATAAAAGGACAACATTGCCCATCATTTTTGCATAGTCTCTTGAATATATTAAATAATATAGTTTCTTCAAATGCTTATAGAATGAATGAATCAGTTTGCAAATGGGAATAAGCAGATTAAAATTAGCCAGATTAAAGAAAAACATGAGCAGTTGTCTTAGATTTATAACAACTCTACAGGTTCTGTTAGTGGTCAAAAAGAATATGTTAGTCTGGTTTAGTTTCTTTTGTCTTTTAGTTAATGAGAAGTAAAAGGGACATGTTTTTAGCATTCCTCTTTCCATATTATTCTATAAAAAATGTTACCAGAGTGGAAAATAGACATTTTCTCTTACTTTTCAGGTCATGTACGACATCCCTAAGACAGATTGATAAAATTATTGAACAACTTGGCCCTCAAGCTGCCACCAACAAAGATATCAACAGGAAACTAGATTCTGTAAAACGACAGAAGTATAACAAGGTGACTCTAGAAAACACTTAAGTCTTGCATTTTTGGAAACAGTCATTATTTAAGCTCATGTAATATTTAGGAAATAGGTATTCTGAAGTATTTATAAGGTGTTAAGCAAATTTACAATAGAGAATTAAATTTTATGCATTTAATTTTTTGGCTGTTTCCCTTTAACATCCTGTGTTTAAAGAGTGTTCCTAAAAATACATACACACATGTACAGGCACCTTCACAACTGAGACAGAGTTCCCTTTTTTGACTTTTCGCCTCCTCACTCACGTACTTTCATGGGCTCCCTTGCGCCGTTGCTTTCTTTCCCCCGGCTGAGGCTCCTCTCTGGCCCGCCAGCCTCTCTCGCTGGCTCACCTCATGTGGACTTGCCCCCTTTTCCTGCTCAGCTCCTGCGTGTACTGACTGTCTGCACTGTGTTTCCCGTCAACATGGCCCTTGCCCCTCCCACACTCACGCTCACTGTCCTGAGAGGCTGGCCTTAAGTGTTCAGCTGTCACCCAGCCGCCCTGACTGGGCCTGCGCTTAGGGTTGTTGGACTTAAGGGTAGGGAAATGTCTATTACTTTTGACTTTGTGTTTATAAAGTCTGAAACATTTTTTAGAACTTATGTACACTCCATAACAGCATATGGCAGGAGGTAGAAATGACTTGTTTTAATCATTTTACTACTGCCGTGCAGAGTGACTGGCAGATGGCCGTGTGCTTGCAGTTGATTCAGGGCAGTGAGTAGGGTCCTCACGACGCCTGTTTGGGCTTTACCTTTGGGGGTCTAGGTAGCCTTGCTTCCTCCTTTTGCTTTCCACTCAACTTTGGTTCATGGTCTTCACCACACTGACTCCTCACTTAACTCCGTAGCAGCAGCTCACAGGTCATTGCTCACAGTGGAGTGAGGCAGCCGGGGTCTCCCCAAAGCAGACAGGGGACCCTCTGGCCTCTGTGGGAGTGTGTGAATAGTGGGCTTCTGGGGGTTGGGGTTTCAAAGAGCAGCGAGGACCAATACTTAGACCACTTTAGGTACTAGTCTAACTTGGTTGTCTACTCCTCTGTCTTTCTTTGGCACCTCTCTGATGTTTAGAGAGAGATTTTCAGAGACGGGCTGTTTTAAATGAGAATTTGCTGAGAGAAAACCTGCAAGATAAAACAAATTACAAGTTATTACAACATGGTGTCCATAATCAGGATGTCCCCTCTCCCCACACTCACGTCTGCTGTTTAAACATTCTTGACCTTGGAAAGAAGAACCACCTACCACAGGCCTAGTGAACTGGGGCATCCCTAGGAATGGCCACATAGCTGAGTTCTGGTGATGTTGGAGAAAGACAAAACAAAGGGGGGGACAGGAAGGACAGAGTAAAAGGGTCTGTCAAAATAGATTTTGTTTTCAGAATGTTGTGATTGAATAGTGTACTATAAAGGACAATCAGAAATATGGTAGATTATCAAGGGGGCTGACTTTTTCAACTGTTTGAACATTTATGTGTTTCTTTGCCATATAGCCTATTGACCTCATAGCCCTTTGGCGGCTAAGGTCAGAAACAAATGTTGTGATTTACCCAGTGTGTGATGGGGACAAGTAGAGCAGCGCCACCTCCCAAGTCAGTGGAGGGTCAGTGCGTGTGGAGCTTAGGTGCTTAGCCAGTGGAGAACTGTGCCACCCGGTCAGGAGGCTGGGGACGGGGCGCTGCCTGGGGGAACACGCTGCTTCCTGCTAGAAAAGTAGCAGTTACTCAGATAAGTCTCTCTGTAGTAATAGTAATATCTGGCTGCTGTGTTTTATTTTGGTTTTGCCCTTGATTAAAGTGTTTAAAATTCTATGATGCAGCCTTTTGTATTTAATCACTTCACTGCTATTTTTTTGTATTCAACATTTACCATTTAAGGAACAACAGCTGAAGAAGATCACAGCAAAACAAAAGCGACTCCAGGCCATCCTTGGAGGAGCAGAGGTAAAAGTTGAACTAGATCATGCCAGTCTGGAGGAGGAGGATGCAGGTGAGGATCCTGGGGATGGTGTCTCTGTTCTCGAATTGCGGCCTGATAACCTCCGCTCAGTGGAGGGTGTCTCTTCAGTGCCAGCCTGGGTGTTTGGACAAATGTATTTAATTGCTTAGTGTCAAAACAAACATAGGACATTTTATTCTCTACACCTATAGAAGCTAGTCTAGCCCTAATCCTAACCCTAACCTTGGTCTACTAGTCTAACTTGTTTTTATTTTCCTTTGTGTATCTTTCTTTAGCAGCTCTTTGATGTTTAGATTGAGACTGTTCAGAGAGAGAGAAACTGTGAGATGAAACGAATTAACAAGTCTTTTGGGGCTTCAGAGAATGAAAGTATATTTTTAACTCACCCTAATAGAGGCTCCTGGTGCCCATTTAGTATTACGTTTAATAAATTAGAAATCTTAACATTTTGTATAATTAATTTCATAAAGGCACCCAACATCTTGATTGAATTATATTTTGTTGACCCAGTATCATCAGTCAACATTCATAGAATTGCTTTTCAAATCTTTTTGGGACCTATTTGGGAGGCTTTCTAACCATCAATTCTGTTGTTAAGGCATCTTAATTCAGGTTATTTAATCCATGGCCATATTGCTTATATCACTGCCCTGGATGGGTGTCTTTTGGAAAACCTTTTGGGAAGATGCATAAGCTCTGAAACAAAATGTCTTGAGTGTCAGTGTGTGTATGTGTGTTTAGAAATTGTTGGTAGCTGTTCAGTTATTTACTAGTTGAAATATAGATTTAAGCCCTTCAAGCAAATATTTTGTGCTGGCTCCATTCAGTAAGACAAGAGAATTGTGAAGACTCAGTTGAAGTGATGGAAAAAAATAGTAGCTGTGCTGTCAGAGTTGTCTTACGGAATCCACTGGGCCTGTGGCCAGTGCTTCCTGCTGCTGAAATGCTGTATTTCTCATTGGTAAAAAACTTTTTCTTGATCTGGCTGCCTAGAACTTGCTGTTATCTTTTGCTTCCTATTATTTGTTTGGTAAAAGTCGACCCAGGGGTAATTGTTGCTTCCCCCAATCCAAAATCTCCACTTGGCCTGTCTGTAGCAGCTGCTACTTCCCTGCCTCTCAGGAGCCATGTCTGTCTCCTGATTTTCCTTTCAGCCTTCTGACCATTTCTATTGAGTTGTTTTTGACCAGATTTGCTAGGCTTATTTTAAATAATAATTACTCTTAGAATTTCTTGCTGAGCCCTCTTTTTATAATACTACGTCTCTCCAAATAATCTTACCCCTTCCCTATGGCTTCTCTGGCCACCTAGGTTCTAGTATCTTAAAATCTGTACACTTATGGCCTTGCCCTTTTTCTGAACGCCTGTTTCCTGTTATCTCTTTCCACTGGGGCTCTAGCCAACACTTAAGACTCCTGGTCTCTCTTATCACCCTTCCTCTTCCATACTTTCTGGGGTCCCTTCCTTCTCCCTGGTGCTCTGTGCCCTGTCTGGGGAGGCAGGAGAGCAGAGTGCCCAGGCTTTATGCACCCCAGCGCTTTATTTCCCAGGTATAGACCTTGGCTACGTTCTTTAACCTCCCAGGTCTGTCTTGAGACAGGCGCAAGCACAGTAGACCTTCATTTCTTTGCTCCCATGCTTTTCTGAGATTTCCTTTTCCCTGCTCTCCACATAATGATCCATTTCTTAATCATTGTGAGGATTATCTAATTGAAAAATCCTTTCCTGGAATTTGGTGGGATAAACTTTGCAGCAGTTGGCTTTGCTCCTCTGATCTGTGATGATTAGAGGTGCTTGCTATCACCTTTCCTGTTACATTCTACTGGGTAGTGTAGTAATGTAAGAAAAGAAATAAAACCATCACTATTTACGGAGTGTGTGGTTGGTCATATTGAAAGCCTGAAAGAATCAGTGGGTGTTCTACTGGAATTACTATGTGAATTTAGCAGTGTCATTGAACACAAGGTCCGTATAGAAAAATCAAGTCATATTTCTACATATGAGCAAAAGTAAAAAATAAAAATTTAGTAAAGATGGCAATTACAATCAAAATCAAAATACCTGGAAATAACTCTTTGTTTAAAAAAGTAGTTTTCTTTGGTGCTCTCTACATTAAAAACAGCAAAATGTCATTGAAAAATTAAGAGAAGATGAATGACGGAGATACACCATGGTTATAGATGGGAAGATATACAATATTGTAATGATGTCAGTTCTATCCTTCTCTAGTTTCAACTCAACCCCAGTATAAACTTCAGGGAGTTTTCTGAGGGAGAGGGTGTAGGGTAGGAAGAGTAGGCTGAGGTGAGTGACACTAGTAAAATGATTCTAAAATTTATATAAAAATGCATCAGGTCAAGAATAGCCACAGCAATCTTGAAGAAGAATAAAATATCCAGACCTGTTATTAAGCTATAGTAATTAAGACAGTAGTGCAGTAGTGGCATAAGGGTAGACCAGTACACCAATGGGACAGAATAGAGGGTCCAGCAAACAGACCCACCCATATGTGGTCACTTGAATGTATGATATATGTCGCAGTACAGTGCTGTGGAGAAAAATCATCTTTTCATTAAGTGTGCTGGGTTAATTCACATGAAGATAAAGTGAAGATTGGCCCATTATATAGTGTACTAAAGTAAATTCCAGATGGATTGCAGATCTTCCAATGTGAAGGGTAAAAAAAAACTTACAGTATAACATAGTAAACATTTTCATGATCTTGGGGCAAAGATTTAACAAGACACAAATATGCTCACTGTAAAGGAAAAGATTTGATAAATGAACTATGTTACAACTAAGGTCTTGTGTTTGCTGAAAGATAGCATTTAAGAGAATGGGAAAAAATGTTTGCAATATCTGTGTTAATGCAGGGACTTGAGTCTAAAATGTATGAAGAATTCCTAGAAATATTTTTTTTCTTTTAAAGACCACCTGTGAGAAAACCTGGCAAAAAAAAAAAAGAAAAGAAAAATTCGCGAAAGATTTGGACATTTTCCTTACAAGAGGCTACCCGAAAGATCAGCAAATCTGTGTAGACGTTCCCTAGTTCATTAGTCACTTGCTGCTGCTAAGTCGCTTCAGTCGTGTCCGACTCAGTGTGACCCCATAGACGGCAGCCCACCAGGCTCCCCCGGCCCTGGGATTCTCCAGGCAAGAACACTGGAGTGGGTTGCCAGTTCCTTCTCCAATGCGTGAAAGTGAAAAGTGAAAGTGAAGTTGCTCAGTTGTGACCGACTCTTTGTGACCACATGGACTGCAGCCTGCCAGGCTCCTTCGTCCTTGGGATTTTCCAGGCAAGAGCACTGGAGTGGGGTGCCACTGCCTTCTCCTCATTAGTCACTTAGGGAAATATAAATTACAGCCCCTGAATAGTGCTACTGCACACCTACCAGAATAGCTAAAATGGAAGGGCAAGAATATGGATCAGTTGAAACTCTGAAACACTGTTGATAGAACTTAAAATTGGCAGAACCACTTTGGAAATGTTCGGTGTTGTCTACCAAAGCTTAATATACCCAAAGAATCATATACATAGCGTTACCAAAGGATATGTACTGAAATACTCGTAGCAACGTTATTCTCAGTAGTCCAAACCTGGAAACTACCCAGATGTCCATTAGTAGTAGGATGGAAACATTGTAGTAGAGTTGTATAATAGAATACTCTACTAACAGCACCAATGAGAACCAACAGACTGCAACCAAATTCAACAGCAGGTATGACTCACAGGCATAATTGTGAACAACAGAAGCCAGACACAAGCACAAACATTTCCAAGTTCAGTGCCAGGTCCAGCTTATCTGCAGTGTTAACGGGTCAGTCAGTATCTTGTGGGCTAGAAGCTGGGAGACACCCAGAAAGGCGGATCTGGGGATCCTAGTAATTTATGCTTCCTGATCTGCGTGCTGGTGTGTGGTATGTGGTGGTTTAGTCGCTCAGTCGTGTCCCACTCTTGCAACCCCGTAGACTGTAACCCACCAGGCTCTTCTGTTCATGGGATTCTCCAGGCAAGAATACTGGAGTGGTTTGCTGTTTCCTTCTTCAGGTGTGTGTGGATATATTTTTCTGAAAATCCACTGAGCTGTACACTGAGGATTTGTGCACTTTCTGATGTATGTTTTTCTTTAGTGAACATTTAATGAAAAACTGTGCGGGTGTTATTGGCCTGCAAGAGATCATAGATTTTAGAATATGCTTTCCTTCCCATTAAGCCTTGCTTCCTTTGATATTTTGGCTATGGATAAAGTAATTTTGCTAAAGATTAATTTCAGCTGATGAAAGAGGAATGATTTCTGGGTGGCTTTCTATTAGTATAGCATAACTTCCAATTTTAGTTCGTCCCTTTAGTCAGTTTACATATCTAATGTGGTGCCGTCCAGTAGACATAGTTGCAATAATGGAAATGCTGTCTGTGGTGTTCATCATGGTAGCCTTTAGCTACGTGTGGCTGTTGAGCTCTTGAAGTGTGGCAAGTACAACTGAAAAAATGAATTCTCAGTGTAAATTTAAATGGCCACGTGGTGACTATCCTGTTGAACGGAGCAGAGCCACCATTTATGTCTAACCTATTTAGGTGCATGCTGATTGTTTAGATTTCTGTTTTCAGTTCTGCTGTCTCTTGAATTTAAGTCCCTCTCAATGCTGGTGTTAGCAGTGATGTGCAAACTTGAGAGATTGCTTCTTCAAGGACTACTCTTTACTTGATAAGGAAACATGGCAAAATTTCTCTATGTTACATATGACTGGGTCTGTCTTTGGATGCCCAGAAAGCATATTTATAATGCAGTATTTTGGGAAAAGTTACTGAGAAGTGACCTTTTTGAATAGGAGTATAGTAAATTTCACTATGCTTTATATATAGTATAGTACATCAGTGATTTTTTTTTTTTTTTGTATCTTATGTGTTAAGTAGCACACATGTCTGTTCTCCTGGAAAGTTTTATGTTAGTACCCAATGCATTGTCATCCCTTTTTCAGAAGCGGAGCCATCCTGCCTTGGCAGCATGCTCATGCCCGCTCAGGAGACTGCTTGGGAAGAGCTCGTCCGCACTGGCCAGATGACACCTTTTGGTACCAAGATCGCTCAGAAGCAGGAGAAAAAACCCAGAAAACTAATGCTCAATGAAGCGTCAGGCTTTGAAAAGTATTTGGCAGATCAAGCGAAACTGTCCTTTGAAAGAAAGAAGCAAGCCTGTAATAAAAGAGCAGCTAAAAAAGCTGCGGCCTCGGCCACTCCTGAGCTGAGCTCAACACTCCGTGAAAACAAACCAGACGAGAGAGGCAAAGTTCTATCGAAAACAGATAAACGCCTGAAAAAAAAAATCAAGAAACTCCAGAAGAGGGCTCTTCAGCTCCAGGGGCAGGTGGGATCGCTAAAGGGAAAGAAACCCTGGGATTGTGATGTGAGACCAAAGGCAGAGGGGGACTCGGAGGGTGAAGACTCTGAGTACTTGCCCACGGAGGAGGAGATGGAGGAGGCGGTGGGTGCCGACCTGCCCGGGGAAGGGACTGGCTGGGAGCAGAGGCTGGTGCTCAGTCGCCGGAAACGGCAGAAGAAAGTCACTGTGCAGGAGATCGATGATGACTTTTTTCCAAGTTCTGGGGAAGAGGCTGAAGCCATGGGAGGAGGTCGGAAGGTAGTGAGATGCCGAGATGATGGAGATGAAGATTATTATAAGCAACGATTAAGGTCAGTCCACAGGGGCCGTGTTTTATTGTAGGTGGCAGGTTTATTAATAAGAGTTCTGGTCTAGCTTAGTGTTAGACCCCTATTCATCCAAAGATTGGACTTCCTGCAGCCTTAGCCCAATAGAACCATCAGTTCAGTTCAGTCACTTAGTCGTGTCCGACTGTTTGCAACCCCATGGACAGCAGCACGCCAGGCTTCCCTGTCCATCACCAACTCCCAGAGTTTACCTAAACTCATGTCCATTGAGTCGGTGATAGAATCATCAGAGCCCCTGAATCCTCAGTGGAGCTGACCCAAGATGCTTCTACTTCTGGGTCATCATTCAGATTTGGGGGCAAGTCTAAGAAGAAAAGCTTAAGGGGAAGGCTGGGTCAAGAGGCATGCAAAGGAGTAAAGCAGGAGCTGTGTGCCTTCCTTTGGAGAGTGGGTGCCTTGCCACAAGGCTGGGGAGGAGGATGAGGTTGGCTTGTGTAGTGTATGCTGGGTGGAGGTAATTTCAGGAGTACGTGTGTGCATGCTAAGTCGCTTCAGTCATGTCCGACTCTGTGCAGCCCTGTGGACTGTAGCCTACCAGGCTCCTCTGTGCATGGGATTCTCCAGGCAAGAATAGTGGAGTGGGTTGCCATGCCCTCCCCCAGGGGATCTTCCCAACCCAGGGATCGAATCTGTGTCTCTTATGTCTCCTGCACTGGCAGGTGGGTTCTTTATCACTAGCGCCCCCAGGAAGCCCAGAGAGCTGAAGTTTAAGTTTTAGTGTATGAAAGAATAAGATTGCTTTCCTAAACGCCTCCTTCCTTGTCTTAAAAAAGTAGTTGTTTAAAGAATTTAAACCTTCCAGTGCCAGAAATGGGCTTCGAATGTCCAGGATACCTTCCCACTGTCTTTTCTTTGTGTTTGCTAGAGACTAACTTTGGCTTCTTATTTCCATGATTTTGTCAGTATCTGGTATAAGTAAGATAAAAGGAAGGTGAACACATTCGTTTGTGGAGTCAGCGTTGCCTGTTCACACATTTTCTGTGAACCAAGAAAACCAGTGTGTACACTGCAGTGTCCACTGTGTCTCACGGAACACTGCTGCGTGACTCAAGCCTCAGCCTTTAGCTTGCTAAGAGCACTGAGAAACTCAAGGGGATGTGAGAATCTGCTTAACAGATTACTTTTTTTTTTTTTCAGATTACTTTTTAAATATTTGCTCCCAGGATATTTTTTTCCCAATCCTCAACAGTTTTTTCTTTTTTTCTCAGTGTAGGGAGACCTAGTTTATTGTAATTTTGTAGCTTTCCACTAACCTTTGAGAATGAAGATTGACCTGATATTCTTTTCTTCTTGTTTAGAACTGCTGACATTCTCCATCCACATTGCCACATATGTTCCCTACCTAACCTTTTAGAAGTAGATGGAGCATAGTTGTTTTCATAAATGATTTGAGTACCTGCAATCTAGATCCAGGTCTTTAAGAGAGCCCTTACACTCAACACTGCAATAATACCTTACTTGGCAAGACAGGGTTGAGGAGTGGCTTAATATTTGTCATTTCTTATTGCAACTTTAAAGTTACTTGGCACATTCCATATCTGTAAAGTTGTTTGAGGGGTATTGCTCAATACTCTTGAACAGTGAGCAGCATATTTTTTCCTTGACTGCTGTAGAGAATTAATAAAAGTGTTAATCTCACCATATTGATTGTAAGTGGAATGAATATTCTTGCCATTAAATTGAGTCAATATTAAATGTATTTTAAGTATATCGGTATTTTGATCAAGAGCAGTTTGTTTTGATTGAATTTTAAATATAGGTTTAAATTCATGGCAATAAGTTTTTCTTAATAATGTTAAGATTGTAAAACTGTTATATCCAAAGCCATATCAGAAGTCAGTTTTTGCTCAAGTTACAGTAGAATCTCAAATGAGTTTCAGAAATATCAATAACTCTAATTGCCACCAAAATACTATAGCTCTTAAAATTTTATAGCTACAGTTATTAAGGCAGATAATTGTTAAACTGCAGATATCCACATTAAAATGTTTATATTGCATCTCCCTTGGTACTCTTTGGATTGGGGGATGTTAAAAGAAACTAAAGTGCTCAGGGTTGAAAAGCATATTAAGGATATTTTAAAACTGCCAGTCACTCTATATTTTGTTGTTTCTTGTTGTTGATCTTTGTAGACAGATTGAAATTGTAATGGTAACCCCTTGAGTGAAGAAAAAGAGTAGGATTTCTTATTAATAGTATGATTTGATGATTGATGATCAGCATAAAGCCCCATATAGTTTACAAGGGGCTTCCCTGGTGTCTCAGTGGTAAAGGATCCACAGGAAATGCAGGTTCCATCCTTGGGTTGGGAAGATCCCCTGGAGAGGAAAATGGCAACCCACTCCAGTATTCTTGCCAGGAGAACCCCATGGACAGAGAATTCTACAGTCTGTGGGGACTGCAAAGAGTAGGATATGAACTAGCAACTGAACAACAACAGCAACTAGTTTACAACATAGAAAATGAGTTTTTCCTAATGGTTAGAATTTAGAAATATATATCCAGGGCAGGTACCTTTTGAACTTAAATATGTGTTGAATTGTACATATTTATATAACAGGGCTTAAATTATTGCCATGCTAATTACAATGTTGTTTTGAACTCTTAGAAGTAAAAGTGGATGATTCGTAGACATCTCACCTGCTTAGTTCTCTCAAGTTGAGAGTCTTATGTCTTTCATCAGCCCTAGGTTAGTCCTAACTAGGTATCTTTGATTTTAGTTGATGTTCAGCAGGAATACCCTGTCAGACCTTTACTACAGCTTAACATTTTCTGGATCTGGGTAATAGCACTTACAATCCTACTTTCTCTGACTTAGCCCAAGATTTCAGGTCAGTCTTGGAAGTTTTAACCATCTTTTACACTGTCTGTATATTTTGCCTTTTCCACATTTTTATCCTGCTTTCTTCTCTGTCCTGTTGTATTTGCAGGCTGTCCCCCTCAATGGTGTTCCCTGATTTTCTTTCTTTTTTTTTCTTCCTGATTTTCATAGCTCTGGTTATGTACCGTGATGAATGGGCCACTTCTTAGAAGCAATTATTCTGTTGGTTCTTACTCATGTCAGTGCTAACAGATCTTACAAAGCATCCATAATTTTTTATTTTAATTTTGTGGTAGTCAAGTTTCCATTAGGGTATGGCTCTCAGTTGTGAAGTCTTCCGTAAAATCCATCGCTTTAGGATCTGGGATCTCCTGGGGCCAGGCACTTAATAGAAATAAGACACATTCAGTGTTGGGTGATATGTGCCCAGGTTGAGTCCAAAGTGGCCTGGAAGACCACACGTTTCATGCATGCACCTTTCCCTGCCAGATGACCAGTCCTGCTTCCCTCAGTGTAGTTGGTTCATTTCCCAGTTGAGAATGAGGGCAACTCCATTGCTTCATCTTTATTCTCACTGCATGAATGCCCGGCTCCGTTCCTGCGAGGAATCTGCAGTCTTTTAGGGGACAAGGGCACACATGGGACCTACCAGGGTGAAGAGTGTAATGAAATCAGGTGGAGGTGCTTTAAGCAAGATTTTGTGGAGAAGGTTGGTCCCAGCACTGGGCCTGGTCTGTGGAGTGGTTCAGATATGTTGATATGAACCTGAGGATGCAGGTTAAAGCACTTGCCACATTTGCCCTCAAACTTCAGTGCATCATTGAAAAGGAAAGTACTTGCTTTGCTTTTGGGGGCACATTATTTCTGCAGGGGAAGTTCCTCATTCCAGTCTTTGATTCTATGCATGTATTTCTGTCACATGTTACAATTATAGCAGGGTGTACACTTTATCTTGGCCTTTTCAAGTTTATCAACTTGCCCATGATCTCACTGGTTAAGAGCTGGGGTTTGAAGCCAGGACTTGGAGTTGGGTGCAGTGGGCAATATCTATATATGGCCACACGGTGGTGCCAAGAATCAGGACATAGCCACCCCTGCCTCCCTAGACTGGAAACCAAACCCAGGTCAGTCGGATGAAGATTTGGGGAGGTTGCTGGGATGTCTAGAAAGCTTGACAGGTCTGATGTGGATGGGGATAGAATTTTCCTCATGGTGTGGTGTAACCCGAGTCTGGAGTCATGGTGCCCATTGATAAAACTGGTTTCTGATACATTTTTAATCTTAAAGGTTTTTCTTTTATCACATTTTAAACTTTATTTTAGTGTGAATAGCTTGGAGTTAAAAAGTCAGATGACTCCACTCATTGTGTAAATCTTACAGAATATCTGAAGCCTCCACACGGCTAAGTTGTCTGGGTAAATGGTGTCTTCATCACCTCTCCCTTGAGCACTGTGGCTTCTGTGGTAGGGGTGAGTTGGACCCTAGTTTGGAGGGTTTGGCTGTATACATGCCTAGTTCTAGAAGGGGAGGGCTGTTGTTATTTTCAGATGCCAAGAGGAGTCAAGTCCAGGAGGATAAATGTTGAAAAGTCTCTTGGATTCGAAATTTGGAGGTCTGAGCAAGGGGGGCATCCATGAGGGAGGGAGGAAGTTGTATGAGAACTAAGATAACTGACATTAGTAAATGCATACCACTTGGCAGTGCTTCAGTCTCTGTGGGTCCAGAGGTTTAGTCCTCACGGCCCCGTAGGAGATATGATCCTGAGCCGAGAAAGCTGAGGCCTTTTGCCCAGGGTAGCAGCGAGTGAGAAGTCTGGGGTTGGGGTGGAGCTGAAGGTGGTTTGGGTCAGGAGGGAGTGGTCTGTCAGCATGGACTGGTGCCGTGGACCCAGAAGAGCATGGCCTCAGTGATCAGTTTCTCCCATCACTTGATGAGGACAAGCTCACACTTCTGCAGGTCCCAGCCCTGGCTAGAAATGGTGCTGAAGGCTGTGCCTCCCACACTCCCAGCTGCTCTGTCTCCATTTTATTGTCTTCACAGAGCCGCCTCCTCTTGTCTAGAGTCAATCCCTTTGCATTGTGATTGTACCATGTTTATCCTTCAATTAGACTTTTGTTTGTACTGCACTCAAATTCAGGTCACA